TGGAGTGTAAGAGGTGCTATTTGCTTGTCCTTCAGAAAATATTAGAGAAACTGAAGCCTCTATTTCTCCAACAGGAACAGTTGTCTTGGTTGTATTCCCTGCAGAGTAGGTTTGTAAGGCACCGATCTTTGGTGCAGTAGATTCAACAGGACAGCTACAGGTCTTGCAAATGTGGATAAAATGCTTGGAAAGACCTCTGACCTCTCAGAAAATACCTGCGGAGCTTCAGCCACCAGCCTGTCAATCTTATGGCTTCTCATTCAAAGCACAGAAGAGTCTCCAAGGAAAACTACTGGACTAGAAATAAGGGGAAATAATTGTATGACCCTTGGGATCTTGGCAGTGTGGAGACTGTCACAACGATGCTGAGAACAGCAAACCACTTCTGGTCTCTGTGGAAAGACTTAGAAGCCCGCGTACTTCACAGGGCTCAAACACATCACCTCCCTTTCCTTCCTCCCTCTGTCACTTCTCAACAGTTTCTCCTCGAGAGAAACAATGATGGCAAACACCTTCAGTTCACACCTCTAATTAAATTTCCGTCTTTGCTGCAAGGCATGTGGGAACAAAAGGCTAACATGGAGCTTTTTACTTAGGCAATAACCAAAGGAGAAAAGCTACCAAAAGCAATACTGATGATGCCTCCTACCTCCATCCATGAAGCAGGGCCTCATTGTGTCTCTTTGCTTGTGTTATTCCTATTGCTGGAACTAAAACTCACCTTTCCACCCAGTTCTTGTAGCTGGGGATGTCCTTGGCATAGAGGAGCTTGTTGGAGGGTGAGTCTTTGCCCAGGCGGTGCTCTGAGGTCGAACAGGAGTCCATGAAAGTCTGAGCCACGACAGAGAGGCAGGCATCTGTGATGCTGTTCTTGTGGATGTCGAAGACGAACTGGGGGTTCTTGATCATGTTAACCCAGAACCGTAATGGCAAGCTGCAGGAGCAGTGAAAGAAGGGAGTCAGTCAGAGCACAGCTCACAGGCTTTGTTGTGTGAGGTTACAGTGGTTAAATGTTGGATGGCAATCAAAGATCATGGTGGGGAGATAAGGATTCTGGGATAAGATTTGATGAACAATAAATTCCTCCCCATAGGACTCTAGGGATGGCAGTGGAGTCACCTCAGGAGTGGCTTTTTTCTTTGTTATCCTTACATGCCAAATTTTGTCAGTCTCAAAGTCAATGCCAACTTACTGAAGTTACACATAAATAAATGGGAATATAATTGAGGTGATGAAAATGACTCCTTACTTCTCTACATTAGGTTGCAATGTAAAGATGTTGACTGCTTTATCCAACGAGGGCAACCACTGCAGCCACAAAACTTATTTGTCATTGAGGGACTTGGCTTTTCACCCTCATAGCAACCCCATGGGAAAAGAGGTAGGTAGAGCTCCCAGGTGTTGACTAGGGGTGTTAATGGCACGCACTGTGTGCTATGGTCACCGCATACTGCCACCCTCAAGTGACAAGCCTGTTCAAGACCAAGCCCCCATAAGATCCCAACACACTGGGCATGAAGCAGTCCTTATGTGACAGGGAAAACCCTGCTGCCGTAAGGAAAAAAGGGAACCGGGGATAAGTGTTGCAGCCTTTGAAATGAAAATTTATCTGCTGTAACCAAGGAAATGTTATTCCAAATGCAATCCAAAGCCCCCTTCCCCCTCCTTTTTTCTCAAAAGAGCAGTTCATTTGTATGAGATGCCCTGAGGTATCTACCTCCAGCCTTTGCCTCAAGCCTTTATGTCAGGGCAAACGCATTCATATGATCATGGCCTAGGAGCTGAGACATGTCACTGATCACAGAGCCAAACTCTTGTCTCTCTGTCAGGTAGACTGTTAAGTTACCTTCAGTGCCTGCACCTTCCCAAAAGGAGGTTATTCTTCAGCTTAACAAATTCACCCTATGTTCAGGCTAAACTCTCCAGTTCCTTCCATTGGCTCGTTATCCCTATGTGTTCACCATAAAATAATTAATCTCCAAGTCCAATACATTTCGGGCAGCAGCAGGCAGTTTAGCATGTCCTGACAGAGAGATGAAACCATCTCTTCCTAAACTGCTGCGTGTTCTCCTGAGCCAGCAAAAATCACAGCAAACGTAAGGAAAGCGCCACACAGAAGTGGTAGATGCTGGCAATGAGACCTGATGGAGTCGTGTAAGGGAAATATTTTAGGCTAAAGATGGAGGTTCACCTATTGGGGGACAAGGTGGATAAGTGAACCCTGCAGAAATCCTTCTGTGGGTATTTGGATGGTAAACACAACCGCAGTGAGGACATGTATGTGTGCCTGAGTGTGCATAGGGGTGAGAGGAGGGGCTGGGGGTCGATGTCCCTAGCTGGAAATAATGAAGCCTGTGATGTGACTTTGAGTTAATTTAATCTGATTGAACAGATTTCTTCATACTGCCCCTTTTCCCACATACACGGGCACTCTGCCTTCCCCCCTCCCCCCTTAAATAAACCTCCTGCTCATTTACTCTGAGTGGCTGCAATCAGCCTTAGATTAGTGCCGCAGATAATGTTAATAATATGCTAATGTTTCATTAGTTGAAAGCCTCTTTGGTGCATGGGGTTTCTTTTTTTATGTCACTGCGCTGTGACGATCTGCCATCAGCATGGCTGGTAAAAGGAAAAAATGCATGAACTGGGAGCCCCATGGCTCTCCTCTGCTGTTCCTTTCATATCCCTGTATTTGCACAGAGGAAGGGGAGGGAGCCATTCCCCAGGGAGCTCTTTCCAACAGGGAGACTTAGTGTAGAGGAGCGGCAGAGATCTTTTCTCTCCACAGATCCTGGCTTTTTCCCGCTGTCCCATTACATGTATGAAGAGGGCCTGCTGCCGGGCAGCGAGAGCAGGGGGCTGATGTCAGACTTTGTCACTCGCATTTGAGACTCACATTCTGTTCCATACACTTTAAGTGCTTTATACCATTTGAGATGCTCTCCTGGCCTCCAGCTGCCAGCCCAGGAGGGCACACGTCTCCTGTGAGTGCTGCACATCTGCTGTGGATGTCTGGGATACCTTAAAATATCCCAGATGGCACTGGTTGCTGATGTGTGGGTAAACAAATGGAGCTCTACTCCCTCTCTGACCATAATGAGAGCTTAAACACCCAGTCTAGATGAAGGTAGTGGTGCTGGATCTTCTCCCATGCCTCCTCAGGCATCCCTGTGGGGCTGTGCACTACAGCAATTAAATACTGCATAATTTTTCCTCCTGTAGCCTCATGAGGTCCCTCAGAAATACTGCCATCCCAATGTAACACGGGGCAAACTGACACCTGTTTAGCCAAAGCATTCCATCCTTGGGAGCATCCTTTAGATTCTGGGATCTTCTGATTTCCCTATCAGCTTGGGAAGACTGAGCCTGGTGCTTTGAACCCCATAGTGGGGTCCTCAGCTCCCCCATCAGCCAGATCCCAAACTATATGTCCCTCTACTGTCCTTCCAGTGCAGGACCTGGTGCTGGACTGTACCGGGGTGTCTCACTCACCAATTGCTTTTCCAGGTGTGCCGCACGTGGGGGTCATGGATGTTGTGCTTGTCAGCCTGCTCATCCAGGAAGTCGAACATGTATTTGATAGCCAGGGGAAGCGCACTGCCGCGGTGAGCAGTGCTGAAGATGGTCTCAAAGAGGTCGTCTACAAACTTCTGGAGGGTACCCTGTTGGGAGGAAGAAGAATGTGAGACACCAAGTGGGAAGATGTTGAATTTTGGTACCCCACTGAAAACAGGGTATGCCTATGAAGATGGCCCAGGAAGTGCCACTGAAAAACAGTAGCCATCTAACGTTTGTTAAATGCAGCATGAGTTGGAAATGTCAATACAGACATCTTTAAACAGCCACGGCATCTTCACAACATCCACTGCATCTCGTTAGCAGCCAGATGGGGTAGGTCAAGATGCTACCTGTCCTCTCTGCTACCAGCACTCCCTGCCAGGGAGGGTGGCTGAGCAGTGGTGGGATATCTTGCCTCATCTCAGGTACACGGTGATGGATAGGCCCTGATCTGTTCCCATCAGGATTCCTCTCCCCTGCATCCTATCCTCAATGCCTTTAGTGCACACATGGGACAAAAACTAGCCATTTTCTATGCTGGCTTTCATCCAGGGCCAATTCTTAAGCTAGAAATAGAAGTCAGATGACTGTAGAGCAGAGTAGGTGTCATTGAGACAAATGGGACAAGAGTACCTGGAGAGCGATGGCTGTTTTTTATGTACAAGTAGTATAATAAATAACACGAACTTCATCTTAATCTTCAAGAGGCATCCTCATTTTTTACTACCCATTGGCATGGGACCAAGGCAAACTGAAGCAATGCATAGATGTGCCAGGTACTGATCTGAAGACTTCAGTAATGTCCACAGTAGAGGCTGCAGAGGTCTCCTTATGCTCCTCTGGAGGAGAATCCCAGATCCTGTGCTTGGACAACCACCCTGGGCAAATCAGTGAGGACATTTGACCTTTAGCAAGAAGGTAAAGACCTGGAATATCAGAGGGTGACCAGGTCTGGAGCAGTGGGGAGTTGAGCTGTGACAACCAGAAGAGCTGCAGGATAGGTCTTGGGCATGCTTTTCCTGCTGGATAGGGAGCTCTATCCTACGTCTGAACCTTTGCTCTACCACCAGAGCTGCACAGGCATTTATATGTGAGCAAACCATACAGCTGCTAAAATAACCAAACTGCAATCAAATCTCCACCAAACACTTGCTGATATGCAAACTTTCCTCTTCTGAAAAGAAAACCCTCCCCTTTGTCTGCAGCCCCAGGAAAGAAATTCTCCTTACTAGAAACAAAGCACCAGGTTCCACCAGAGTGTCTCAAGTTCACATAGCCCTAACAAATACTTAATTAGAAAACTGGTGTCTCTTGCTGCTTCACCACTTGATTTATTCTTTGGGAAACAACCAGAGGTTCCTCTTGCTTGTGTGAACTCCTAAAGGGTGAATAGAGCCCTGCAGCACATGTCTGACTCAGAAAGGGCACCCCGAGGGGAAATCTTGTTGGTCTGACATGGAAGAGCTGCCCTCAGGTTCAGTTTCTGGAGGGAATTAGTTCTTTACATGCTCACCCACACAAACACAAAGAAATCCTCTGAGGCTCTTAGGCAAGGGACTCTAGGTCTCAGAGGTCAGGGATTTACCAGAATGGAAATCATTGTCAGTTTAACTAAGTATTCCCTGGGATTGTATTACCAGCAGTTGCTCTCTCTCCTCTTTCTCTCCCTCAGATGGTCACGATGAGAAAACTGCTCAGCCCAAGAGAGGAAACAATAAACTCCCGGCTTTTCTACTTTCCTTGTTGCTGTGTAACTTTTGCAGCTGCTTTCCTGCCATCTTCACAGAAAAACCAACCAAAGAAACCCAAGTGCTGAGTTTGTGATCCGGAAGAGAAAGCCAAAGCGATTCGGTGGTGGGGTAGGGGATGTATCCCCAGACAGCGTAAATCAGCACCGGTCCAATGCTTGCTGGTTTACACCAGCTGAGGCTTGAGCCCTGGGGAGCATCATTTTCTTTTTGCGTTGTGTGATCCGTAAAAGTGTCTTGATGCCAGGGAGTTGTGCATGTACCAGGGGCTAAAGACAAAGCCACTTTATCTCCAAATCCCACTGCAATGTAGACAGCTTGAGTGAGGCTGCAGGGAGAGTCAGACAGCAGAGGCAAAATATGCTAAGGAACAAATGTGCAGTTAAAACTGCATGGTAGGACTTAAGCACTTGATGGAGACCTGTCTGATGGGCTAACTCAGACAGCGTTTCCACAAACACATGAAATTAGGCTTGTGCCCATTAGCACCCTGACAAGAAATTATAATAGTCAAAATTTCAGAGAAGAGAGTAAGATTAGGCTGTTTGATTACTCAGAACAGGGTGAGACAACACTATGATCAGCCACTCCTGAGTCACAGCTACCATAAAACTTCCACTTCTGGGATGCATTGATGCAACTCTAATGCTAGAGAAATTCGGTCACAGAGATGGTCTGTGCTGCAAGTGGCTGGCAGAACCACAAAGGGAGCCTTTCTCTGACTATATTGCCTTTCTCTCTTCTTGGTCCCTGCTGGGGTGCACAAGATCATTGCAGCCTCTTCATGAATGCAGGCTTCTCCAAAGAGACCACCATCCACAGGGTGGAACAGCAAATAAATGCAATCTCAAACTGCTTTTGCCCATGCTCTCGTGGAGCCTTTATAAGTGAGTCAGGAGGAAGGAAGTCTCATCAGAGATGAAAGAAGGAGAAAGGTCTGAGAGCTTTCGTCAATCCCAGAGAGAGCTGCTGCAGCAAGAACCAGCTATGCCCTTTGTAGGGAAGGGACAGAGCAGTGGTGATTGACAGAGAGTCCTTTCTGTGCAGACAGCGGCAATTAAGCCAGTTTCTGTTGCTGTCATGAAGCCAAAGTCCACTGCAAGAAGTTTTAGACCTGTCAGCCTGAGTGATCTCCACTTGTGCAAGTGTCCTCCCCATGGTGTTGCATCCTGCTCCTCATAAGACCTGTGCTCTAAACCCTTCACCAGCTTCATTGTCCTTCTCAGGACATGCTTCAGCATCTCAATGTCCTTTTTGTTGTAGGATTTGGGTTTGCGCCATCCCTGGGAGCAAGTCTTCACTGCAGAGATCTGCCATGGGCCAATGCTGATGTGTGAGATGTGTCTGGAGATTCAGTTCAGGATGTCCCTGATCAGCCCTCACCCAACTTAATCTGTATTTTCTTTTTGGATATCCAGAGCTTCCCATGTCTCGGAGGGGATGGGCACCTAACTCTTCTTGATCTCCTTGAAAATCAGCCAAATCATAGTCAATCTAACCCCCTGTCATCTCATCAGCATGGGCCCAGGGGAAAGGTGGAAAAGAAGGACTTGTACCACAAAACTCAGGGTGTTGTGGCAGAGGAGCCCACTTCAGACTGTGAGGTGTGACACATCCTTGGAACCTGATCTGGATACATTTACTCTCTGCTGCTTTTTTTGCTCAATTTTGGGACAAGCTACAAGCCAGGATAATTGACCACCCCAACATGCACCTAACCCTGTGCTGACTTTCTCCGCCACTCTCACGGCCCTGGGTTCTTTATTCCTCATTACTTGCCAACACCCTTTTCTAACTCTGCTTTCTAAATTCAAGATCCTTTTCTCCATTATTGGAGCCCTCTTCTTGCTCTTCTCGCTTTATCACCCTTTGGCATCCTTTGAGCAGTCTCTCATTTCTCGTAGGAAAAAAGTTTCACTGCAGCCTTTAAAAACCCATTTCTCACCCTCTTGCCCACTCCCACCATGTACCTTGGTGGCAAGTAGCCTCGTCAGGTAGATCTCAGAAACCATCTTGCTGCCCCGGTCACCCTCTTTTTGGTCACCATGCTCATGGTTCTTCACCAAGTGCCACATCTTGACTCCGCTCTCAAGGTCAGGAGTGATCATGGGTGTGCGGGAGCGGAGGCTGTCTGGGCTGCCTGTGTATCGGATCATGTTTTCTGCAAAGAGAGATGCATAAGTCTGAGCGCTGGTAGCATTCATATTGTAATTAACAGGTTTTACCAAGGAAATATGCTAAGACATGCTAACAGAATTTCTAATTGGACAGGCAAGAAGACCTCTTCTGTCTGAGTACAGTGTACTTCTAACAGGTACGTCTCCTACTCAGTACATACATTGGGTGCTCGTACAGATTCTTGTGAGGCTGAGACAATTACAGTTGGAGGTGAATCCTCCCTGGCAAGATGCTAGTTTGGGTCTTCAAAGCAAGAAGGCTGTACCAGTAATGTGGTGTCCTTACTCTCACAAGTTTCGTGTAAAATAAATTTCCATCAATTAATTTATAACATTAGGTGATGCAGGTATATCTGCTGGTGGAATTACAATGTGAGACAGAGAAGCCCCCAAAGCAGCTGTATGGACCAGCCTGTAATATCAAAGCATTATTTTATGACTGAGTGATTTGCTCAGCAAAGACAAGGGAAGTCAGCCAAGCCAGACATGATGTCAATGTCTACACTATTAAATTAAATGAGGCTCAAACACTGGTGTTCAGTTGCCCATTCTCTTTACCTCTTACCAGACTCCCTGGCAAAGCTTTGGTCTGGAACAAGCTGTCAGACACTGGCCAGGAGTGGTTCAGGAGGTAGTACCAGCTACTTATGGTAACCAGTATGGACAAGTACAACTTCTTTTACCTCTACGATGTTAACCAAACCATGTCATGCTTCTTGGCGTTATGGCCAGAAAATAGGCCATGGCCTTTTTCCACAGTAATATTGATACATCTAACATGGCCTCGTGCCTAGTTCCAAATCCCCAGACAGAGAAGGGACTGTCTCTCCTCTCTGCTTTGGCATCAAAGCAATCCAATATCTCCTGCCCAACCATTCTCTTCACTACCTGCTTCAAAATTGTATTTTGACAGAAATTAAACTAAAACCCCAGGTGGGCCCACACAAATATCCTCTCCAAGAACACCTTTAGCCTCGAAATCCTACCTCCTTTTGCCTCTGAGTGATGGCATGAGGCATTCCCCTCTCCCTGACCTTCCAGCAATGCTGCAGATAGAGACTTTTCCAACCATAATTAACAGAAGAGTGTTGCACCTTTCTGTAGCAAGATCTGAATCAGCCTCATTAATGCATTACCAATATCTACATATTAATTATCAGATGGAATATCCTTTTTATCTCTGGATGCCGTTTTCTTAATTGCAATTAACCATCACTTCTGACCCACCACATCTTCTCCTCCCCTTGCATTCTTCCCCACACCCTCCTCCTGAAAAATCTAATGGAAAAAGAATTAAAGAAATCCAACAGAAATTAACCCTCTTCAAGTCTTCCTTTTCAAAGGTCACTGTGTCTTTCAGTAATTGCAACAACATGGCAAAGAGGATGAATATTAATAACGACTGGTGGATTGCTTATGTCCTTGGAGAAAGAGGAAGAGGGCTCCTCTGGACAGAGCAACTGTAATTTCTCTCAAGCTAAAGGGAGTAAGAAGGATGGGGGATGCTTTTAGAAAATAAAAAATAGTAATAAACTGATATGACAACTGCATGCAGACTGGAGGGTGGTTTTGCAACTCTGTGGTTGCACATTAGAGATGTTTTGCTTTGCCTTCCAGCATCACCATAGCGAGACATGTCCTGGACTGCAGCTCCAGTGCAGGGAGGAAAGGTGTGTGATGGTGTGAGACTCAGGAGGTCTCTGTTTGGCTCTGCAGAAGAATTTCCACCTGGTCTCTATTTCACAGCTGTCTCGTTCTTAGTAGTCTCATGGGTAAAGTGTGAACAACAATCCACTGCCTTGAGATATACTGATATAAGACCTCAGTAAGCCACTTTTATTATTATTCCAGGTGCAGATTCCCTTGGGATAATAAGATAGCTGTGCGGGACACATAACACCCACACTGAGATTTAACTGTAGGCAGGCTATACCCTACATGGAGTGTGGTTGCTTGCAGTCTCAGAGGCTTCTTATCTGGGCCACAGATTTGTCTTCACAAGAGTCCATGCTCCAAGGACTCTGCCCACCAGAACGACTGAGCTTGTTCCATGTGCAGTGCTTCTCCCTTGCCTCTCACTGTGCAAAGTTTTCACAAGTTTCAGTGATCTAAAATGTAGGCAGCTAAATTACATAAGGTCCTTCTTCTGTTAATGAGGGAGGGGAAGTCCTTTCCAAGGGCAATTCAACTACTTGAACCAGATGCCGAAGTTTTAAATGGCTGAAACCTCTCCTCCCACCATCCCTCAACAATCATATCAACCAGCCTTCTGCCTATCACTCTCTCTGCTGGTGTTCAGTGTCTTGTAACCACCATGACGTACGGTACCTCTCCTCCAGTGCTCTCCCAGTCCTTACCAGCTCACAGGTCCTTACCGTATTTGCTGGCTGAGGTCCGGGAGACCGTGGAGTTGTTGACTGCATTGTAGGCAGTGACTTGCTTGGAGACTAAGGCAACCACAGACCCATCTGGCACCTGTACAGAAAAAGGGACTATGTCAATAATTATCTGAGAACTGGCTTAGGAGCGTGCCAAGGACAACAGAAATTCAAGCAGCAGAAACTGAGCTGTAAACCAGAGTCACTGTAGGCAGGAGACCTCATCACCACCTACAACTACCTCAAGGGAGGTTGTAGAGTGGTGGGTGCTGGTCTCTTCTCCCAGGTGATGGGGGATAGAACAAGGGGAAACGGCACCAAGCTGTGCCAAGGGAGGTTCAGGTTAGAGATAAGGAGGAAGTTCTTTCCTGAGAGGGTCGTCAGAAGCTGGCACAGGCTGCCCAGGGAGGTGGTGGAGTCACCATCCCTGGATGTGTTTAAAGAGCGGGTAGATGAGGTACTTAAGGATATGGTTTAGTGGGTAGACAGGAACGGTTGGACATGATGACCTATGAGGTCTTTTCCAACCGAGCAATTCTGTGATTCTGTGATTCTGTGACAGTAGTTTTGGCCTGAAGCTTCAAAGGCTTTCTTCAGTGGGACTATCAACAAAAAAGGGACAAAAATGTCTGTTACACCACTAGAAGACTGAACATGGGCAATAGGACAACTGATGATAAAGCAGACCCTGCTTCATTCAAGTCCTGATTCAAAGCCCAGTGATGACAGTGTGAGTCTCTGCATTAACCTCAGTAAAGCTGGTAGTAGGTTCTTCACAAGGAAGCTCTTACACGAGGCAGAACCATGAGAAGAATAAAATCATCATCTGAGCTATTTCAAACATCAAGAATGGGATTTCCCATAAGGGTGATAAAACTGATGTGAATTTTTCTATTGCTTCCACCTCAACTGTAGGTGATATCTAGGTACCTAGCTCAGAAATGGATATCTACATTTTCCACTTTGATCCTCTCAACTTCTCCATGCAGAGTCCCCTCCTTCCACGTGACAAACGCACTGATGGACTGAAGTGACTCTCACAACTGCTTTCTCTGTGCTGTGTCACAGGGTCTCAGATAGGGGAAAGCAGCAGGTTTGGAGCGGCTGTGCTCCAAGATGTCATGGGATGGTGTTTCCACAGACAGCAGAGCTTTCTGAAATGAGCCAGACTTCCCATTTCTACAGCTTGGCGATTCATATGGGTGGAGTATCAGAAATGCTAACAAGCCAGTGGCTCAGAGGAGCCATATCAGGAATATCTGTGATAAATAAGACATCATAAAAAGGAGACAGATGAAAAAAAACCCCTGCTAACATTGTCTAACTCTTGTCTGTGCAATAATAATAATTAGCACTTGCAAAGAGTTTTTAATCTTTAAAGCACTGCAGAGGCTAATTAAATAGCCCCTCAGCAATCACAGAAGGCAAATACTGGCTGTCTGTAGTTCTAGCCCCGCACTACACATGGGGAAACTGAGGCAGCTGGAATATCAGTGTCTGTCCCAGCATGCTCCGTGTCTGCCCTGAGGACCTGTTCTGCCCCAGCTCATTCATGTACCTGAGAGCTCACTGCCCGAAGCAAGCAACTGGAAAAAGTACAGAAGGGAAAGAAAATTATGCCTGGTTTGTTGGTGAAATAAAATAGAAGACATCCCCTCTCAGAATCAGAGAATATCTCGCCCTGAAGAAGGTGTTCTGGAGCCAGCCAGCAATGCTTCAATCAATCTGAAGTTAAAAGTTTTGTTTCCTTTTCAAATTATTGCTTGCTGCCTCCTCAGGTCAGCTCTTCAATGAGAAAAAAAGAATCTTGTTATGAAACATAGATTGCTGAGGTGTGATTGAGGAAATGACAAAATTGTCAGCATTGGACTAAACTTAATGAAACCCTTTCTTTTTCTTTGGCAAGGAGGGGAAGAAGTGGGGGGAGCTTTTGACCAAACCTAAATTTTTAATTAAATCTGTCACTTGTGTAAGATATTTTTTGACATCATTAGCCCTCTCTTATGCATCTCAAGGTCATGCAGAGATGAAGGGAAGCCTTTCACTCCCTGAGGCAGGTCACACACACCAAGACAGGGATTAAAAACAAGGGTTCCGAGGTCAATGCCACCTCCACTGCACCAGTCTCCAGTCATGCTGCTTTCCTCCTCCTTCTTCCAGACATTTGCCCTCCTTCTCTTCTATTTTTCACTGTTCCATCCCTCTGAACTCTGCCAGCATTACAAAGCCTCCAAAGCATTGGAAAATGAGGGGTGGAAAGGCTTGGTTTCTGTTTGCCTACACGAGAAATGCTAACTTGTGCTGTCCTCATGACTGCATCCCCTCTTCACATCCTTCATTCACCAGGGCTACCCCTCCTTTGGAAAAGACAAGATTTTTTTATTCCCTTGGCTTCATTGCTAATGATGAGCAGGGTAATGACTACAAGGAGAGTGGAACAGGATGAGGAGACTCAGTGCAAGGTCTCTGCCCAGTTACTGCCCACTCAACCATTGCATCTTAAAGAATAGCACTTTGCCCTTCTCCTTTCCACTTTCTTAGCTGATCTATCTCCCAGCCATCCTCTCACTTAGATACCTGATAGTGTGCCAGCGTGTTGAGTCTCTTCCAGTCATTCTCTATCTTGGTTGTGATGTCTTCATCCTGAAGGATCATCCTTGCCCCGCTTGCTTGCCGCCACTCTGCAAGGAGAAGAGGAACATTGAATTCTGCTGTGAAAAGACTCTGAGATAAGGGGACAGAGCCCCAGTAATCTCTGTGCCCATACCCATGTGGTCACACATGTGCAAGGTGCACCCGTGTAGGAGCTTGTCAGTCATTACCTTTACATTGTATCAGAGGCCTCCAACCATGTACAACGCACAAAAGCCCAGAGCCCTCTTCTCAGAGGGAAGGAGAATACAGGTGAACCAATAAATGTTCAAGCAGGTGGTTCATAGAGTCACAGAATGGTTTGATTTGGAAAAGGCCTTAAAGCCCCCTCAGTCCAACCCCCCATGGGCAGGGACACCTCCACCAGCCCAGGCTGCTCCAAGCCCCGTCCAACCTGGCCTTGGGCACTGCCAGGGAGGGGGCGCCCACAGCTTCTCTGGGCAACCTGGGTCAGGGCCTCACAGTCAAGAATTTCTTCCTAATACCTAGTCTAAATCTACCCTGTTCCAGTTAAAAGTCATTACATTACCACTCATCCTATTGCTACCTGTCCTTGTAAAAAGTCCCTCCACAGCTTTCCTGTATGCCTCCTTCAGGAACTTACTTCAGGAAAGTATGCAAAAATCATAGCCATATGGCAAAGTTCAGAGTCAAGTCCTAGGTTGTCCAGACTGCTTTCTTTACCTTGATAAAATCATATTGCAATCACAAAATAACTTTTTCATAGGGAACACGCACTCCTTTAAAAAGTGAAACCATACAGAGATTATAACATAGAGCAGTTGCCTATGGAGATGAGAGGTCCAGGGCACAGCAGCACACAGTGGTGATCTCTGTACAGATCAACAAACAATGACCAGAAAGATGTTGATCCATTGGCAGAGCTGAACATACCAAGGCCTGATGCTTTAGCACCCTGATTATTCACAATGCTTAACACTTAGCTTATGCCCTGGCTCTGTTCTTGCTTCACTGTGGCTGTTTCCAAGAACAACTTGTCCTTGCATATGTTAGCCATCACCATGGGACAGGAGTAAATGAATGTCACTTGCATCAGGGACATAAATCTCTACCAGCCTTCAGCAGTGTGCTCATGTGCAGAAGGGCTCCAGTTTCTGACCACATCCAGTTCTGCAGCCTCCACCCCAAAATGCTCAACGCTTTTCTCCTTCTGCAGGACTGGAACACCACATCACTTCTCCAATCTTGATGGATGCTCCATGGGAAGAGTTGTCACAGCTTTCCCCACAGAGGATTCATAGACTTGCCCATAGTCAAGGAACACATAAACATGACTAAAAGGAGAGAAAGGTATAACCTGGTGACACCAGGGAAAGCTGTGACTTAACCACAGACAACCTGGACCATTCAAAGCTTCCTTTTTGGTTGTCATGTCTCAATCACATACAGGTTAGCCAGAGGCACAGCAGAAAGTCTGTTCATTTGAGGGAGTTAATTAAAGTCAACTCTTGGATATGGGAACATCACCTGCCACCCTTGCTTATTTCTCCTAATATAAAAATGCAAGGACCGTTGCAAATTTCTTTTGGTTTCAGCAGTTTTCTTATCACATAATTAAAATGTATTGGGAAAGCTGCCCTTGCCTTTATTAGTCATTTAAATTAGCAGGAAGAGGTCAACTGCTGTGTTCATTGCTGGGTGTTACTTTGGCTGGAGACACTCAGAGAGTAAGCAGAGTTGTTGGCTAAGCACTGATCCCAAACCGCCCTTCATTTACTCCAGCTCCTTTGATCCTCACCTACATTATCTTGTGATGTCCAGGGGTGATGCTCTCTGATCATTCCCAACTGGTCCAGATTCCTGGAAGCTAACAGATCCCAGAAATTGTTTGGAAGAGCACAGAATGCTGAAGATTGGGCTGGGCAACAGTGGTCTTACAAAGTGTCTCACAATGCCAAAGCCACTTCTACTGTCACAGAGTGTGTCTCTTATGTGCCTTCCTCATGGGCTCTTTGGGACAGCATCTCTTTGACCTCTTTCATTCATGACTCTGCATGTTCCTATGGTCTTCCTCTCTCCTGACTCATCTTTGGGGATGTACACACACTCTTGTAGCATTTCCAGAGGGATGCGCAGGTTCTCAGTGTTGCATTTGGCTGTGATATGCAGGACAGGCACAGCTTTCCTCATTCTGTGTTTTATTTGTATTCAAGGGCTGGACAGCATCCTCAGAGCAGCAGAAGTTTCCCTCTGCTCCAGGGGAGCTGGAGACATCATGGGATGTCAAGCCCTTTCTGCTTCTACCCAGACACAGGAGATTACAAAGTCCTTCTGCTTGGTCTTCCTGCAGAAAGGGGCCATGTGAGGAAGAGGAAGAGGAAGAGGAAGAGGAAGAGGAAGAGGAAGAGGAAGAGGAAGAGGAAGGACCAGTCTGACTGGGCACAAGACCCACTCCTGAACCAGACCAGGGGGGAAACATCCTGCAGGCCAGGTTCAGAGCATCTGGCTTCAGCTTTGCAGCCTGTTTGCCCTGTCCAAATACAAATCACTTCATCATGCAATGATAGGGAAAGGACCCCCAGTTGTGGTCTCCCCAACTCTGCCTTAGTCTCACAGGAGCACTGCACGCTCCCCTTCTCTGCAAGTGCCAGCTGAGGGGGTCACACACAGATCTGCAAGGAAATTCAATGGCTGGGAGCAAGGGAATGGGAAGGGAGGGTGCAGGGGAGTAAAAGGTGACCCTGTCATCCGTATTCAGAGCACTAAGTGAAAACTGTTAGCTTTGTCCTCCTTGGCAGCACCCCGTCCCCTCTCTCATCAGATCCTCTGCAAGCTGGCACAAAGGAGAGACGTACTCCAATCCAATTTGTTACACTTCCACCTTCCGTGGAGAGGGAGGGAGAGGAGGAGGGAGGTAAAAAAAATCCCATTATCTTTATCAAGCCTTCCAATCAGGAGCAGCGGTAAATGCAAACTCAGGAGACAGCTGCTGTGAAGCCTTTATATTTCATTCAGCAGATAGTGTATCTTTTTATTGCACGCAGGAATTACTTCTTTTTTTTCTTTTTTTCTTTTTTTGTTTAAGAAACAACCTTTCTGTTCAACTTGTCTAGGAAAAAGGAAATTCCAGGGGCCTCTGACAAAGAGGTGCTTCTTCGAGCTGCAGCAATGTCTGGCTAGGGAAACGACTCTATGGGGACATGGGAGATGGGGAGATGCCTTCCTGCACCTCAAATCCCATAGAAAACATTACTCTTTCCTTGTGCCTTATCTCTGATCCAGGTCACCCTGAAGATGTCTGTTGAACAATGGAGAAAAGCACAGCAGAGAGAACATTTTTCAGGGGCAATTGAAATGTCCAGGTGGAAGGACCTGCCAGCTCACTCCAAGTGCCTTCATTTGGGCTGGTCATCACCAGTTGTGCCATCCTTTACAGGCATTTCTAGGTCACCATGCACTCCATCCATTTCAGTCAACTGCTCATGCCATACACTGCGCTTCCCACCCTTTGCCTAAAGACCCCAGGTCTCCCAGGAAGGGCTGTGTAAGGGTTTGTGACCGGCTGTGCACAGCAATGGCATGGGGAACAAATGCCTGTGGCTTATCCAGACTCGATGCCTATTTCATGATCGTTTGTGCTCATGAAAGATTAGCCTGAAGAGCTGGGGTGCTGCTTTTAATCCTCTATTTTTTTCACTTCCCAATAATTTCCACGTGAGAGACAGATTGGCATAGTAAACAGGAGAATAAACCCTTTGCTGCAGGCACCAGTACAACCAGGCAGATAGGAAACAAAAATGGGTAAATGTCTAGTATGTGATGACCTCTAGAAAGAGAAGAGAAACTCAGTTCTGCTTCTGGGGTGGAGAAAGAAACACCACAGTTGTGAAAAAAACCCTCTAGTGTCAGAATGTATAGATGGAAGACACCTGTGAAATATTTCATCCTGTAAATGCAAATTGTCTGCCTTATTGTACATATATCATATATTAGCCTCAGCTTAAATGGTTCCTAATGGTTGCATCCCTCATCCCAGTACTGTACTGTTGATGGGGCAGTGCAAGCCTGACATGGTCCTCAGTGAGCCTGAGACAGCATCCCTGAGTGCAAGACAGTCAATACAGCAGCTCCCATCACCTCAACAGCACCTTTCAAAAAGCAAATGAAACACAGGGAAGAGTGAATGCCTCAGCAGGGAGCCAGATTCCTGTTTTGTGATACTCATACCCTAATGCTTTCCCAAAGATGGGGTATTTTTATTTAGGGCGAGGGCTTTAAAAACTAATAATAACAAAAATAGCCACTGCGGAAAGAAGCCTTTACTCAAAGGATCGCAATTTGGGTTTTGGACTAAAATGTAACCTCAGGGTGTCCAAAATAAGTGCTTTCAGCTGACAACCCCCTCCATGAGTTGTCTGGGTAACTGCAAAACATTATGACATTTGCGACACATACAAGTCACTCTGCCTGCAGCTACCCTGCATTTAACAACTCAGAATAACTCATTAGCTTGTTTGCTTTCTTCCATGTGAGCAATCTGGCCTTAGTACGGACAGAAAGCCCAGAAAATTGTAATGGTAATAGAAAACGGTGTTGCTGTTTAGAAAACCATTGATTTCAAGGCCAGATTACAGTCATCTACTCTGACCTAGTGTTTAGCATGGGCTGGCTGGGCTGATCCAGCTGCCTTTGCAGTTCTGAGCATACAGCCTGGGGCGGGCTGATCCCTGTGCTGCCTTCTCAATGCTTTCTGCTCTCTCTTTGCTGCCTCCACTTTCGCCAAAAGATGCCACATGCCAACAAACATCTTTTCCTGCAAAGAGGCTGAGATGGACCTGCGTATCTCTTGTTCCTGCTTCACCCATGCCAGCCCTGTTACTCCCACCGTGTTAGCTGCTGTGCTAAAGGAGCTTGCAACTGTATTGCTGTTGGCAAGACTCTTCTACTAGATGAGAGCGGGTTTTTTGTGTTTGGTTCGATTTCTTTTCCCCCCAGCTGCATCACCAACACTATTGGCCAAACAGCTGCTCATTAAAGCAGGCTCCCATCAGGATGGACAAGTCTGTCATCGGAGGGGTGCAGATGCTTATAAGTACTTTTTGGGTCTTGCTGGTTCTCAGCACTGCTCAGCAGGTCAATATTTCTTAAAGCAGCAGCAATCCTGGGTGTAGAATTGCCAGGTTCCATCTGGGACTCCTCATAGACACATTTCAGTACCTGTCAGTTGTCAAAGCTACAATAAAATCTGTGGGCTCCAATTTATCCCTTGTATTTACAACACACAGGTAAGATTCCTGCCTTCCAGGATGTAGGCATCGTTCACCCCCACAAACTTCTTTCCACTCACACCCACTCTGAGATCTGAATGTAATGGGCTCTGTGGCCACCATCCAGCCCCAGACAGGATGATAGATTCGGCTGTAAACCCCACTTCTCCGCTCTACCATGCCCTGGCACCCTGCCCTGCCTGCCCTCATGCTCACCACAGCAGCTCCAAAATCATCTTGGGTCCTCTCTTGATGACATATATGATCTGTTCTTTACCGCTGCTGGTTTTGGCAGCTTGTTTCGTTATTCTAACAGCCTTTCATGAGCAGGAATCTCACTGCAATTTCTGACAGGAATCCCCTCCTCCCCTACAGATACGCGCACACATGCAGACACTTGACTTTAATCCCTGACCTCTCGTTCCTGCCTCCATTATTGCTGTGAATTTTTTTTCTTGGCATCAGTCCATTCCTTCTCCTTCTGGTTCCTCTTCGACTTTGCTAGGTTTTATGGACCCCATCATTTTCCACTCAAGTCTCTTTCACTGAAGGTCACTGAGGGCAAATTCTGGCAGATACAGCCACAATACAGTCCCTGGCTCCCTACCAGACACCTCAGCTATGCCCTGAGCAGATTTTTCTATATCCTTTCATAGTAGCCCCAGGTGTAGTATCACATCTGCCTCTGGACCCCATCTTCACACATCTAACTCCTCCCAGCTCTGGGTTTAGGGCATAAATAGATTTTGGCCTCAGAGGCACCCCTATGCTGGGCTGTACAGCTCCCTGTGTGCCCCGTAGATCAAAAGCACAACTGCCTAGAAATGCAAGTGGGGCTGGGGCAGTTCTTTCTGCTCCCCAAGCAGAGCAATGCACCAAGGGGCAAACCACCGAGAAAAAGAAAAACAAATGCATTAATTCATAGACAGAAGGACTAATGGACTAATCTTTCCTTAAGACCCCCAAGTCCTCTGCAGAAAGATAACCTCAGAGCAGCAGCTCTCAGTCCTGCTGTTGGTGGTGGGGTGGTGGCAGGAGAGGTAAGTGGTCAGGGGTGCGATGGATGCATCCCACTGAGTGGAGGATGCTTCATCCCCTTCCCTGTGCCCGCATTAATACCACTTGGGCTGTGACTATCTCAGCAAAAAGATACATACAATCCAAACCCTCACCATTCAGAGAAGAGCCAGGAATAAAGCTCTGCAGCTTGAACACTGCTGACAACACCCCCCTGGGAATTCGGTGCCTTTTTTCCAGGAGTTTTGGGCAGGACAACAAGGATAGCCCCAGTCATGCCTTTTCCATACCCTTCTCCAAGCTGAGTTCTTTGGACAGAAAAGCAGGATGGCTACTTGTATTATTAAGTCCTCCAGGCCAAAGATTTCATAAGCCAGGAGCAAATGCATCAGTTTAATCACTTTCTTCTGCCCTCTCATCGTTGCTGCTGCTTTGCCTTGCACAAGCACCATGGGTACACCCAATATGGAAATGTGGCACTTGCCCCAACAAACGATGCCGAGATTGTGTTTGACTGCCTCCCATCTCCCCTTTCCTCAGCCTGAAGGCAGTCAGGGCCCGTCGTACACTCACATACCCAAGTCCATGTCAGCAGCTTTGGGCCGGTGGGAGCAAGGCACGTTCTTGAAGATGGCATCGAGGATTTTCTCCTTGACCTGCGTGATGGTGTCGCAATTCAGGATCTTCACCGGGATCTCGGGGCTGTTCACGTTGTCGGGGTTCACGCAGCTGAGGACCTGAGAGAGAAGCAGTGAGACCCACCACACATTACACAGCACCATGGGTACCCTGTGGACACCCCTCTGCAGCCACCTTCTTGCAGGTCCCTGCTTCCTACAAGCCAGAGGCATCTAGGGTGTAATAAAGGGGAAAATGGGTACCAAGAGTATTCCCTCCTTTGAGAGGGCACGGAGATTTGGTTTCACAAAGCGGATTGCATGTGTCCATGCCTGTACTGCTCTCAACACCTTACCAGTGCCCAGTGAATTAAAGGTAATCTGGGATTTGTCTCTCAGCTAAGTGCTGTGGGCTTCCAGATGGTGCGGACAGTGACTTGAGGCAGATGTGAAGGTTTTTCTTCACTTGTGTCTCATGCCACTTGTTTGTGAGGTGAAACTACCATACCTGTGGGAACAGACCCTTAGGTTTGGGCCTCAACTCCTTGGCATTTTCACTATATTTAATAGCAGAAGGCCCATGACTGCCAGCTCAGGTTCTGGTGCTTTCAGTAAAAATGGCATTCACCCAAACAGTATCAGACAATGGTCATTGACACACACTTTTCAAAGAAATTATTAAAAATGCAACCAGGCCTGACCCTGCTTGGAGCTGAACTGACATCCAAAGGGATCTCCAGAGCTTTCCTTGGCCCCTGAACCAGTCCATGCTCCCTAGAGAGCTGGCAAGGTGAGATAATTCAGTATCACAGAATCACAGAATATTAGGAGTTGGAAGGGACCTGGAAAGCTCATCCAGTCCAACCCCTGCCAGAGCAGGATCACCAGACCAGGTCACACAGGAACACGGCCAGGCGGGTTTTGAATGTCTGCAGAGAAGGAGACTCCACAACCTCTCTGGGCAGCCTGGGCCATGCTCTGGCACCCTCACAGTAAAGAAGTTTTTCCTCATGTTCAGGTTGAAGCTCCTATGCTCCAGCTTGCTCCCATTGCCCCTTGTCCTGTCATTGGACATCAGAGAGAAGAGCCTGGCTCCCTCCTCCTGACACTCGCCCTTTACAAACTTATAAACTTATAAATGTTTAGGCCCAGTAGTGGTCTACTTGCATTGCCACCTGACTTTGACAATTCAGGTAAAAGTGCTCTTCAATCTCTCAGCCTTAAGTGTGTCCATCTTCTGCACAGGCACAGGACAGACCAAGACCCTCTTCAGAAAAAGGATATTAATTTGAAATGCAGGCCTTCTCAAAAAAAGAAAAGAAACACAAAATAACAACAACAAAAACTTTTGCTTTCACATCTAGAACAAGAAAATTGACCCAACTCGAGAGGCACTTAATTTCTCAGAAGGAAAATATAATTTTCTCCAAAGAGTCTGTCCAAGAGTAAATGTAAAGCATATGGGGTGGTGAGGAAGGGAGGGATGCCTTGAACACATACACACAGTATTTCACAGCAATCTGCCTGCTAACTCCTGGCCATGTCTGTGTTTAGCGTTCTGCTCTCTTCTGGTTACCAGAGTGTGAAGTCTATAAACTTTTATATACTTAGCACA